GACACTGTCGGAGGTCAGAAGAGGCTGTCGGAGCCCCTGGGACTGGAGTTATGGACAGTTGTTAGCTGCCATGTGGGTGCGGGGATTCGAACCCGGGTATTCTGCATGAACAACCAGTATTCTTAACCGCTGAGCCAGCTCTCCAGCCCCCAGTGGCAAAATTCTTTAACTTCATAGTTATTCAGATCCTTAAAGCATTGGATTTCATAGTATTGTATTCAAACAACCTCCAGGCTTCTCTTTGTGTATTTTTTGTTTTTACGGAATTAAGTCTGCTGTCTGACTTTGCTGCCTTTGGCCCATTGTCCCCCTCCTCCTGCTTTGGTATACACCTAGGGCCTTTGCCTGTTACTTATCATTCATCCACATACGTTGCAGTTCTTCTTCCCCACCCTCCTTTTGTGAAGCAATCTGGTGGCTGCTGCCATCTGAAAGACTCTACAGGTTATTCCTCAGCCTTCCCTCCACCCCAGATGAGCCTGAGCCCTGTCCATCACTGTACCTCTAGTACCGCAATTCTGCCCTTCGCCAGCACGCTGTGTGCTTGAGAAAAAGTGCTGTGCTGTGTCATGTTCCTGTTTTCTCTCCATTCTGCCTGGCTTCAGTTGGTGTTGTTTCCTCTTACAGTGTTACATTTCTGAACTGTTCCCTAGGTTCCTTCATTAATATATCACAGATGATCGCCTGTGTGGGACAGCAAGCCATCAGCGGCTCTCGAGTGCCAGATGGCTTTGAAAACAGGTCTTTGCCTCACTTTGAAAAACACTCAAAGGTACGTGGTAGTGGATGAAGTAGAAGCTTGAAGGTCTGCTCTTCCAGATGGTCCTATGCGGAACACAGGCCTGTCTACATAGAAAGTCATGGGCCATTTTCATGTGATTTACATGGATATGCAATTTGTTACTGTGGTATTGAGATGTACCACGTCATAATTTCACCCATTTGGAGTGTTGAGTGCAGTGACTGTTAATATGGTCACAGCATTGCACAACCATCGCTGCAATCTACTTGTATATTTTCAGTGTTCCAGACTGAAACGCCATAGCTTTAGCTATGCTTGGTTGTATTTTGGAGGTGAGCAGTATGCTTTGAAGGCAGTAGCTTCCCAGGGAGAATACCAGGTGCCCTCTGAGGTCCTTGCTACTTTTAGGGTAGCAGCTTGAGCTTTGCTATTCCTCTCCTGAGCCACTTGCCTGTCACTGGCACCAGTGCCTGCCCCTGCGGGCCCTTACCGTCCATCCTGTCTCTAGGAAGGATGGCCTGTTCAAATTATTTTTTCCATAAGCGAGGGTGTACATCACTTCCAGGTTGTGAGTTGGTGGCTGGGTATTTATAGCCCAAAGGTGGGGCATTTTCTGATGTGGATGGATTTTAGAATTGTGGACCTCAAACCTTGAACTTTCTTTTCTTTTCTTTTTCCCTTTTTTCTTCCTCTCTTTAGCTCCCAGCTGCCAAAGGCTTTGTGGCTAATAGCTTTTACTCAGGTTTAACGCCCACCGAGTTTTTCTTCCACACAATGGCTGGCCGGGAGGGTCTGGTTGACACAGCGGTAAAAACAGCTGAAACAGGATACATGCAGGTAACTTGAAGAAATTTCAGCATTTAGCCATGGGGCAGACAGTGTTCTGTGGGCTTTGGCTGCTCAGCAGGTCTGTATTTTGTACACAAGCTGTAGTTTACCTCGTCTTGGTTTTAAAGGGGAAATTATAGACATACAGGTACACTGGAACTAGAGAAACAAACAAAATATTAATTATTTCAAATTATCCTCTGTGTCACACATTCCAGACATATCATCCAGCCTCCATGAGCCCGTTTCTAACTTGACTCTGAGGTGACGTTGCTGCCTCCTAGTTACTGAGAGGATTCTGCCTCACACCTCGCCACTAGTTTAACTCACCATTAATCCCAGTGTTCTGTGGGCTTTGGCTGCTCAGCAGGTCTGTATTTTGTACACAAGCTGTAGTTTACCTCGTCTTGGTTTTAAAGGGGAAATTATAGACATACAGGTACACTGGAACTAGAGAAACAAACAAAATATTAATTATTTCAAATTATCCTCTGTGTCACACATTCCAGACATATCATCCAGCCTCCATGAGCCCATTTCTAACTTGACCCTGAGGTGACGTTGCTGCCTGAGAGGATTCTGCCTCACACCTCGCCACTAGTTTAACTCACCATTAATCTACTTTCTGGCACCCCAAACTCCTGAAGGGTTTGGGCACTAGAGGGAAGATGCTTCCCTAGGGAAGTCCGGGGCTGAGGTAAGGGGCTGTCTGCTGTTTCTCAAACTCCTATAAATGTGGCTGAACTGGCAGAGGAATAAAACCCTGGGCCTCAGGGAAGGATGTTTTTTTCAGACTGGTGGTCCTTTCTGTTCCCTACTGCAATAACAAGAATATTTGTTGAGGGGCTGGAGAGATGGCTCAGCAGTTAAGAGCACTGACTGCTCTTGCAGAGGACCCGGGTTCAATTCCCAGCACCCACATGGCGACTACAAACCGTCCTTAACTCCAGTTCCAGGGGAAGCCGAAGCCTTCTACTGACCTCTGCGGCATTGCACGACATGGGTGCACTCACATACATGTAGGCAATACACTCATACACATAAAATAAGAAAAATATAAATAAAATTAAACAAAAATATTTGTTGAAAAAAAATTCACATGTGTTATGTTTGTTGAAAAAAATTCACATGTGTTTGTGTTGCTGGGATTGAACCAGGTTTTCATACATGCAAGTGCTTTACTGCTGAGCACAGTCCTAGCCCCCCCAAATTTTTAAACAAATATTTTTTATGTGTATGAGTGTATTACCTATGTGTATATAAGTGCATCCACGTCCATGTCATGCAACGCCTGCAGAAATCAGAAGAGGTTGTCGGATCCTCTGGATCTGGAATTATGGATGGTTGTTACTGCCATTTGGGTACAGGTCCTCTGTAAGAGCAGCCAGTGCTCTTAACTGCTAAGCCATCTCTCAGCCCCTTGCTTCAGATTTGTGTTCCTCTGACTCCTGGAAGCATGGCCTTTGCAGTCAGGGAAACAAGGATTGATAAATCAGTGGGTCACACTAAACAAAGGTGATGAGGGTGAAATGGTGGCAAGGGACACCTGTTGCAGAGCCTCCTCTGTACCTGTTTGTCCCCATCTGGTGCTTGTAGTCGTCTTCTGATGGGGACCATGCTTTGGTTTTGAGATGCGCTGCTTTTGTCAGCACCCCAGTGAACTGGGAGATGCTTTTCCCACTCTTGCCATGATGTGGTTTGATTTTGGTTTCTTAAGTAACCATTTCCCAGGGCAGTGTGTTAACCTAGAGGCAGTTGGTTCCAGCATGAGGGAATCTGTTTTTCTAAGTCACCCAGAGGAGGATTTCTTTAATTCTCTTGACCACCATGGCATTATTGGCTGCTGTTAGAAGGTTCTCCCTGAGCAGATTTGAGAAGTGGTTGCTGCTCACTGTTGTCCCTGTTCCCTCTTTCTCTGTCCCAGAAGTGGATTTACCCCTGATTTTGTACTTCATATTGAAGTATGCAGGGGTCCTGGCTTAAGCTGTGTTTAGAAATGCAAAGGCACTACATTGATTGATACCTTAGGGAGCAGAAGGGGAAAGCAAAGGAGCCTAGAAAAACAGTCTTGCAGAGTCCTTTGGGGCTGGTGCAGTTTCTGTTGCAGATACTGAAGACTGGAGGCTGGGGCACAGGCTGCCTCTCACTGCACAGGCTAATGAGGCACTCCTGGCCTTACTGTTCTCAGGCAAGGGGATACTTAAGGATTTCTAGTAAAGTGTTAATGTAATTAAAGTGTTTGTAACCTTGTGCTGGGGATGTGACAGAGTGTTTGTCCAGCACACACAAGGGCCTGAGTTGATCTCCAACACCACAAAAATAAAGCGCCTGTAACCATGAAACTTTATATGGCAAATCTCATCATGTGTGTGTGTGAGCAGTCTCTCCAGACAGCAGAGCTTTCTTTTCCTTTCCCTTTAGAGAAGGCTGGTCAAATCCCTGGAAGATCTCTGTTCCCAGTATGATCTGACAGTGAGGAGCTCCACTGGTGACATCATCCAGTTCATCTATGGAGGAGATGGCTTAGATCCTGCAGCCATGGAGGGGAAGGATGAGCCACTGGAATTCAAGAGAGTTCTGGACAACATCAGAGTAAGATGTTGCCCTTGGGCTATGCAGTTTCTGAGGGCAATAGTTGAAATCATTTGTAATATCTCACTTTATACTGTGGTCCTCTCTACCTCAGTATAAGATTAGTCTTTTCCTCCAAATTACTCTCTATTTTCCAGCTTTAAAAGAAAAAAAACAAAAAATCAAATGCCAAAGGAAGAGGCTTTGGTTTCCCTAATAGAATGGACTAGATGAGTTTTGGGATTTTTTGTTTGTTTGTTTTTCTTTTTGAGACAGGGTCTCCCTGTAGCCCTAGCTGTCCTGGAACTCACTATGTAGACCAAGCTGGCCTTGAACTCACAGAGATCTGCCTGCCTCTGCTGGGATTAAAGGCGTGCACCACCACGCCCAGCCTTATAGACTGGGCTTATAGTTTTATAAGTCATGACTATGGGGAAGCAGCCTCACTCACATACCGCAGCTGGGAATATAAATTGAAGCTACATTTTTTTTTGGCTGGTAGTTTGTCAATATTCACTTAGATTTAAATGCCAGTGCCCAGACATTCCACTTACAGGAATTTGCCTTACTGAAGTGACCTAAATGTGCCAAGAATGTTTTTTCCACTTTGTTTACAGTAGATACGAGCCATCAATAGGGAATGAGTCACATACATGGTTTTCTGCACCTACCATGGAATAATACGTAGCTACTAAAACTTTGAGGAAATCTCTGAGCTTGAGAGATGTTGAAGTATTTTTACTCTTGAAATGTTTAGTTCGTTGGTTAGTTGGCCAGATGGTTTTTGTGGTATTGAAATTAAACCCAGGGCCTCAAGCATGCTAGGCAAGTGTCCTATCACTAAACAATGTCCCCAATGCTTTTTTATTTTTTTACACTTAGGCAAGGTCTCACTAATCTGCCCGAATTGGCCTTGAACTTGTTTTGTAGGCAGGCAAACCTTGAACTTGTGATCCTTCTGCATGGGCTTTCCAAGTAGCTAGAATTATAGGTTGGGCCGCTAGAACTGGCTACAACAATGTATATTTTAAATACAAATCTGGACTGGAGTCAAGTTGAGAACTAATGGAGCTACACTCACCAAGTTAAGTGGAACTCTGTATAAAATGGAGATTCCTATCTGGGCATAGTGGTGCATGCCTGTACCCTAGCACTTGGGAAGGAGGAGGATCAGGAGTTAAAGGCCAGTCTCCACTACATAGTGAGTTGGAGGCTAACTTGAGCTACATGAGACTCTGTCTCTAACAAAGGCAGACCGAGTGTAAAGTTTATCTGGTTTTCACCTTCATTTGAAGTCCACAGTTTGTTTGGAAATAAAGCCAGGAGTTGGTAATAAAAGCCCACTCTGGGTAAGATAGTTTTATGTCTGGTAAATTCCTCCACCTTGTATTACCCCTCCCTCTTTTCCCCACACACATAACACTGTGTCGTTTTGCTATTCAGGCAGTGTTTCCATGTCAGAGCGAGCGTGCTCTCAGTAAGAATGAGCTCACTCTGACCACCGAGGCCATCATGAAGAAGAGCGAGTTCCTCTGCTGCCAGGAGAGCTTCCTGCAGGTACGCTCTGCCAGCCGGTGCCACCACACCAACTTCGCTGATAACAAGAACTCTTTTTTTTTAGTCTTTTTGAGACAGGGTCTCCCTGTATCCCCAGCTGGCCTGGAACTCACTATGTAGATCAAGTTGGCCTTGAACTCACAGAGGTCCTCCTGCCTCTGCCTCCTAAGGTGTGCATCACCATGGCTGGCCCAAGAACTCTGTCAAATGCTCGCCCATTGGGTCTTATAAACCAGAGTTTTGGTATGGTTTTTCTTTTGGCCTGGACAGTATCTCACCAGCCAGCATGAAGAATTTTTCTCTTTCACACAAATGACTCTCTTTTGGGGAAAAAAAAAGAGCTAGAGAGCCTGTCTGTTAGATCCCTGTCATCAGCCCTTATCCACTTTCTTACCCTTCTGCAGTCTCTGAATCCCTACTGTCATTAGTTGCTGCCATTTGTTTCTAATTGTTGCCTCTTTCCATTGTGGCTTAGAAGTCCCTTGGATCAGCCTTCTTGGGGGCCATCACTGTGGTGTGTGCTCGTGACGATTTTGGTTAGTTTGCTTTTTGTTTCTATGCAAACCTCAAACAGCTCCTTTATGTTTATAACCATGGTTGGGATCAAAAGCAAAGACAGCAACCAGTGGTCAAACCTGGGCACTGATTGAGGCTCAAATGTGACACAGATCCATAGGCCAGTGAGGAGTGTGTCTCCACCAGGATAATGGAATGAAACAAGATGAAGCTTGTATGGAATTGTTTGCTAAGAGAGCACTGCCCTCCTTCTAGCCCATGTAGAAGTGTGGATGGGAACAGCTCTTCAAGGGTCCGTGTGGAATATCCAGAGCATGGCAGGGTTCAGTGCCGTTTGTGTTATTTTTCCCCCCCACAAATTTTCTTCTTCCTTTTATTTTTAATATTGGAATTGCAGTTTGGTTTTTCCATATGCTTATATTATTTCTTTTTCTCTTTACCCTCAAGACCTTTACTGAGATGGGTTATGAGAAATAGAGCGAGGTAATGCGCTCGCATGGCATGAGTGCCTCGCAGATGGGTGACTCCAGCAGCCCTCCAGCTCCTTGCTTGCCAGCATTGGAGCCACACGGTTCTGTCTCCATTCTGGCAAATGCAGGTTTCCCTTTGGGCTGGTTCCCGTCGTGCCTTTGACCAGTTTTTACAGGTGGCCTGCTGGCCAACAGCCTCTTCAGTGAGTGCTGGCTTAGCTGGCACCCTGTGTCACTCACATTGCAGACTTGGGAATGTGACGGTCATTTAACAGGTCATCTCAGTTCAGTAGCTCATAATCTGATGAGCTCAGATTTGCTAAGAGAACTAAAATCCACTGACCAGAGCCGATCTGAGCCAAGAAATGTTGAGACCAGCCCACACTAGAGCTGGGGCAGCTCTGAGTGTCCTTGGCTCCTGGCTCTGGCCAGAGGTTAGTATGTATGTTCCTGGCACACCCAATGCGAGACTAATGATTAGTTGACTAATTGCCTGCCGAGTGCCTTGCTATGGGTTCCCTCTAGTGCACAGGGATTCATTCAGCTGAATTTTCGCTTGCTTACTTCCATTTCATTTCTTCCAGGGGAACTTTTTTCTTTTTTAAAAACCTTACTTCCAGAATGTTTGCCCTAGGCTTTTGGTTCCTTTCAGCAGAGCCACTGGGAGCATGTCACTTGGGAAGCCTCTGACAGGTGTCACTCCCAGTGTCTTCAAGGCTATGGTTTGGTGTGTGCCTTTTTGTTGCTTGTGTGTGCAAACTCCTCACAGCGGGAAGCCTCCGGGCCTGCTTGCTAACAGGAGGCAGCACTGAACCCCTAGGGATGGAGAGGCAGCTCCTGGGGCAATGGGTCTCAGCCCCAGCTAGACAGGTGACTAGAGGCAAAAATCAGGAGTGTGGAAGAGGCTGTTCACCCAGAGTGGAGAGAAGCTGCCTGTCCAGTGGCTTTCGGCCTCTCCTTTGCAGTTACTAACACTGTCTTAAAATGTGGCCCAAAATACTTGATTGGTGAGTCAGTCTCAAGAGGTTTTTGTTTTGTTTTGTTTTAAAGGGAGTGATACTAGATAGGCTGACCAGGCTCATACTGGATTGGATTAACTCATACTTAAGGA